GTTACGATAGTTAAACCATCCGACTACCAAATATATTTAAAATCCACTATTCTGAATGAATAGCAACTACCAACTTGGGAGGAAGCTGCGAGAACGATTCTATTGGGTGAACTACAAGGAAGACATGAGCATCTGGAACGGCTATAAAATTATATTATTATTTCACGTCCCAAGCCATGTTGGAATAGCTGGGAGTGAAAAAGAAGATAATACTGCACACGATTCTTGTCTAGAAGTAGTTGATATTAAGGTAGTTAAGCCATCCGACTATCGAACATTTAAAATCCACTATTTTGAATGAATGGCAACTACGATGGAGCAAAACGTAAATAAATACTTGTACAGTATAAAATTATATTATATTGGCTTAATTTTTATACTACAGAAAATGTGTTACGTTATTTTTGACCTGCATTATATTTATTTAAATCCCATATCATCAATTAAACTTTTAATAAAGTTTTTCTAATTATAATTAACATTAATTTTAAACTAAAGCTTTTTCATCTTGAATGAGATTTACGAAATAACTTATGAGAAACAATAAAAAGAGGCTCTGATATCTGAATAATCAATAATAAAACCACATATTGACTTACTTTTATACTAAATAAATGTAGATATGAAGTTATTTTAAAGCTGCATTATATTTATTTTAAACCCATCACCAATCATTACTTTAAATAAAATTTGTCTTAATTATAATTACCATTAATTTTAAGCTAAAACGATAAGAATATTTTTTCGTCGTCTTGAATGACATTTGCGAAATAAGTTATGAGAAACAATAAAAAAGGGCCTAGTGTATTGCTGCTGAATAAAAATCTGTAATTTATTTCATGCAACATGAAAATAAAATTGTATTTTTTTTAAACCCGCGGCTTCGCGTTTGCTTCCCGTCAAATATTTATGTCTTGAATCATCTGTTCTAAAATGTTCGGTGCATGTCTTAAATTTTAGAATCTTGCTACAGCAGCGCCATCCTAATTCTTCCCTTTTTTTGACCATTTTTTAATACACGGAGTTATTTCTCCTTACCTCTACACTCCATATTTAGGGCACAGAAAATAACACTTTCAAATAGCAGCAAAGAATATTATAATTTTATTTTTATTTATAAGGGTATTAAAATATTCTTTGTACTTAAGATGGGAAGTTCATCAATGAGTTTTATTTTAACTCAGTGGCGGCTCGCGGGTAAAAAGTTAGGTGAAGAGTTAATTTTTTAAATTTTGGCGCATTCACCATTTTGACAACATTTTTTAATATATTTGAAAATTTTTTGCTGCATTCACCGTTTTGTCAACATTTTTTTTATTATTATTTATACACTAATACCTATAATATTTTCGTTTTAATTTGGGCTAAAACGCATTAAGTAAAAAGAGATACAACCAGTTTTCGATAAACACATTATTTTGCATTTCAGTGAAAATATAATTAAATTTACTTAAATTTAATATAATAAACATTATATACAGTGTCCACCATAAAGTTGGATCCATATGTACGTTTTTTTTATTAGAGTTTTAAAAAATCTTTTGTGGCTATCACTTTGCTTTTGAAAACAACTTAAAATGCACCAAGCCAAAGTTGACAGCTAACATCTGGGAGCTGTCAAATACAAAATATTTAAAAGAAATTTTAAAAAATTGGTTAAATTATTATTATTTTAAAAAAGTGACTAACAAAATTATGTTTCAACTTTGACTTGGTGCATTTTAAGTTGTTTTAAAGCGGAATTGGATTGCCACAAAAAGTTTTTTTAAACTCTAATAAAAAAACGTCCATATGGATCCAACTTTTTTTTGAACAATAGAGATTGAAGCTTCCCGAAATAACGTTGTAAACCGACATTTTTCAAAATAGAGATTTCAGTGCAATAAGGTTGTAATTTTCAGGTATAGCTTTCTTTTCCTCGGTTTTTCACTGAAATTTCGATATTGAAAAATTGTTTGGTTACAACCGAGGAGCCATTCAATTATTATTCAATTATTACATTATGATTATTACATTAATGTTTACCAAGCAATAATAACCAAAATAAATTTGATTTATTTATATTACTAACCTTACTAATTTTTGTAAATAGAAGCTCAATTTTTCTGTACTTTATTGATGCAAACTTATCGAAGTAATATCGTCATTTAATTAATTAATTATATTTATTAAAGCCTATTTAAACGAACATTTTCATTAAAATTAGACTAATAGAGTCTAACGTTTTTTTCTAAAGCATCGGCTATTGTATTTTGATTTTTTTTAATTTTTTAACATTAACTGACATTTTAAATGTTCTGCAGAATCCCCGTGTTTATACAAAGATCTTGTTATATTTACGAAATCAGTGAACCCTTCTTTATTCCAAATGCCATGTTTATTAGAAAATATATAGTAAACACCAACAAAATAATTTTTGTAAAACAATACTACTACATAGCCAATTAAAATCAGCAAACCAGGAAGACTTAAATTTAATATTATAAGATTTACCACTTTTTCTTATTTCTTTTTTGCAACTTATGGTTAAAGTTTCAGTTGGTCGCCCTTGAGATAAAACGTCCCTCTTATTTTCATCTGTCCACCGTCTGAAGGGAGTTTCCAATAAATTGCAAACCAAGTCATTAATTGACAAGTTAAATCAACGAAAGCCATTAACAAACAACAATAAATAACAACAACAACTTTACAGTCTTTACACGGTTAATTACTCGCCGAAGTAGCCGAATATTAGCATAAATGCAAAAATTATGCGTCGCCGTCACGCATTTCCTGAACAAAAGGAAGACGAAGAGAACTATCTAAAACCAAAAACTCATTCACATCGGTCGCCGATAATAAACTTCGGGGCGGGGGGATTTACATCTGCCACTAGGCTGACGTCACGTTATCATGAAATCCGTGCAGCCGCTTGGCTCAGAAATAGAAACATTGTCACTTGCATTTCTGGCTTGTAGGCGCGTGCGAGCCTATAATGCTACTTTTTCGGCCGGAATTAACGATGCGATGGACCTATTATGCAGATGTCCGCCCGGAAAAAAATAAATAACTTATAAAAAATTACCATTTTATTATTTAGATACATGTAAATATATTAAACTAAATTAATAGTTTAAGCAGTTAAGTTTTTTCTTTAATTTGAGTATTTTTTCGGTGAAGTGCCCCTTCACCTACTGCACCTGACGAGCCGCCACTGTTTTAACTATATTTACTTTTTTTAGTAATATTTAATTATATGTACTATTTCTCTTTATTCTTTATCATTAATTTTTTATTTATTATTATATGTATTTTTCATGTTAGATGCCTTAATATGTTGTTTTAACTCGTTTAACATAAAATCTATGCTGTAGGTATGATGTATATCTTATTTTTAAATGTATGTGAACACTCTATATTAATTATATTTAATTAATTAGAATTTCGTATTAGAAAAATAGTAAAATAGATTTTAGCTGTGTCTCTTATTAAATTAAATATAATAAGATTTAGAAGAAAACGCTGTGCAAATCTTGTTAGTAGATGCATAAATATATATTTAATTTCATTTAATATAGAAGGTGGACTTTACGATCGATGGTAGATTAGGGCAATAAAGGAAGAAATGAAAGATCATAGCGTTTGTTTAAATTTAAATAAATTATTCTCCTGATTTCGCTAATGGTCGCAATGGGCAAAATCGACGTAGTACTCTCTACCCTAATGGAAAGTACCCTTTTAGGGCTGTTACGGAAATTTACACTATCGCTTTGGCATTAAAATGTGTGTAAGAGTACCAAATTACAAGAAAAATAGTTTACCAATGTTATTAAAAATAAACAAAATACAGGGTGGTCCGAACTGTATTCCGGAAACTTCGGCAGCATATTCTGCAGATAGATTTAAGTAAAAAAGTTCGTATAAATATATATCCTAAAATGCTTAGTTTCTGAGGTACAGGGTGTAGAAGTTTCATTTTTATTTCGATTTTTTCCAAATAATTTCTGAAGTAACGTCAATATTTTGATGAAAATTGGTGTCTGAGAGTTTTTTGATATGAGAAATTTGGGATGTTGATGTCAATATGACTCCATATGGGGCGCCACCTACATGTGTTTTAACTGTTTTGAAGAGTAATAACTTTTTATCCGTACCTGTATAAAAGTAGTGAGCAAAAAAATATACATTACCGTGACATTTTACCTAAAAAATGTCTCTGTAAAAAAATATACGGTAAAAATCACTACGAGTAACCGTTCTCAAGATATTTAGAATGGAAATAGTCAATACATGTCATTACTGACAAAAAATAAACACGTCGAGTAGATAGTTATTTGACTGAAATAATAAATTTGGTAAATTTATATATTTTATATTATATTTTTTTAAATTAATCATAATTTCTTCTTCGAAAAAAAAAACAGTTTCTGTTGAACCTTTGGCTCAAAAACATTTCAAATTTATGATTTCAGTCTAGTAACTATTTAGTCAACTAGTTGGCGCCCTCTGCAAGTGGGAGTCATATTGACATTAAAATCAAATTTCTCATGTCAAAAAACTCCCAGATACCAATTTTCATCCAAATATTTACTTTACTTCAGAAATTATTTGGAAAAAATCGAAATAAAAATGAAATTTCTACACCCTGTATCTCCGAAACTAAGCATTTGAGGGCATACATTCATAAGAACTTTTTTATTTATTTTTATCTGCAAAATAGGCTGCCGAAGTTTCCGGAATACAGTTTGGACCACCCTGTATATTATTTTTATTTACCCTTTTCAGGGCTGTCACATCTTCAAGAAGCATTTTAGGGCATATGTTCATAGGAAATTTTTGTTTTATTTTTATCTATAGAATCACCCACCAAAGTTAGTTACACTATTTTTTTTGACACCCTGTATAAAAACCTATTAATTACATTATCTAACTGGGATTTTGATATTCATATTATTATTTATTAATGAAATAATCATTCATGTTTAAAGTTGTTTTTCATTCAAGAGTACTTTTGTTCTCAGGACAAACAAGAAGAAATTAAAAACTGCGTTACTGAGAACATCAACGTTACCCAAGTCCAGGAGGAATTGGAAGAAGCGAAGAAAACTGGATCAATGGATGTTGTGTTCGCAAAGTACTGCAAAAAAATGGCCGGAAATATACGAATGTGTTGAGAATGTTACAAGCGAGGTGCGTAGATGTTTGAAGCGAAACCGAGGAGAAAAACCTTCAACAGAACGCTAACGATTGTTAGCTTGAACTGCAAGAATTTATGTGCTATAAGGATGGAGATCGCGTTTGGCAAGTAAGTCGATGTATTATTTTTTAATGTTCCTTCACCTGTTGGTTATTTAACATACCCACAACCAAACTTATATGGAATCACTCTTGCTACTTCTGACTAAATTTCTTACAAGGAAAAAATTGGTATTCAACTTTAAAACAGCCGCTACACTATCCCCGAAATGTTTTTTTACGAAATATTTCTGAAATATTTTGTGAAACGTTTCTCAAAAACATTTTCTGAAAATAGTACGATAAATATATGCCCGTGTTATAAAAAAATTAGTTCCCACGTTTCCTGAAATTGAGCGAGACTCGAAATTGATTGGTTTATTTGTTTTTATTGTTGAAAAGCAACAATAAAAAACAAACAACCAATCACGGCGCGTCTTGAAAAACTGATATGAAGACAATTACCGATGGTAAATTAAATTAGCTATTCCTCGAAGGTTACAAAAGAATATTTAGTTTTAATCATTGTCTAATATAATTAATTAAAATATAGTAAAAAAATATAAAACTTTAACGAATTTGGTTTTGTCTTTCTGGTTTTAATTGTCTAAATCCCTGCATAATAAATACTAGTTGAATTGATTTATGTCAAACCATACTGGGTGCTAATAACAGTATCTTTTACAAATTTCTCTTAGAAACAATAAAAGAACATTACTTTTAAATAATGTACGTGGACCATATTTTTTGTTGACATCGGGTCAATTAATAATTTTCCTAAGCGGATATATTGATAATGTTACCAGTATTACTCATCAAGCAACTAACTCTTGTATTAATCAATTAAGCCGTAAACAAACATATCATAATATACAATTTTATATACTAATTCATTATAATAAAATTAAATCATAAAAATATTGTAATTATATTCCTGCAGTATAAGTGAAAACTTTTATTCCTTAATATAGGTATATATCGACTATACATATAATAAACGCGTATTCAAATATTAATTTTGTGGAATATATATCAATATAACATAAATCGAGATGTAATTAAATAAATATCATCGTAACAAGCTATTTTAGAAACATCTAGGTTTACTTATTTCACTGAGATTTATGACAAAAAAATCCTTTGCCTCCGGTACAGATACCGCCATGTTTTGGAAATAGCTTAAAACAAAACAAAATTGAACGAGGCAACAAAAAACGCCAAAAAAAAACCCCCTCGCCCTCCTTACGAGTAGTTTTCAGGCGCTTTTAAGAATCGAAAGTAGGTCGAGGTAAACCGAAGTGGGCCAAGACAACTGGAAATAAATCGAAATGCGTCAAAGTTGGGCGACGAAATGCGACCTTGGCATGTTTCGAGTTGTTTCTGGCATAGTGTGTACGCTGTTAAGATAAGGCTTTTTGTTGTAAATAAACATGATAATAAAGAGTAATCGACTGCTGTGATGTATTCTATTTTGAATTTTGTGTTCACTAGTAAAATCACGATTGTCCGGTAATTTTCATTTGACCCAAGAAATAAAAATTGCCTTATGTTGGGTCAACTGACGTATAGAGGGGAAGAATTATTGCTCTCATTGAACGAGGAATGCCCCACAGAGACGTAGCAAAGATAATAGGCGTTACCCAGGGTATTGTATCGAAAACATATGCAAGGTACTTCGAATTAGGAACACACAGTACAGGCCCAGACAAAGTCGTCAAAGAATCACAACTGAACAACAAGACCGCCTTGTGAGCCAAATTGCAATGTTTCTCATCCAAAGCTACAAAGACAACTTCTGGGTGAACGTTTCAGTTCAAACTATTAGAAAAAGGCTTCGTACCCGAGGGTTGTACAGCAGGAGAGAGTCAGGGGTGGATGGGGAAGTTGGAAGAAGTGATCTTGAATATGCTACGATTTTGAATCACGATTTTGAGAAACTTTACGACTTCCTGATTCATTCAGTTTAGCTGGCCTAATCCTCTGTGAAATATATTATTTTTAACTTTTCAGGTATATACTTTTTTACAGATTGTAGAAAGAAATTTTCTCTTTTCTGGTACAGCAACAACCTCGTCATGTATACCTGTTTTAATTTTGGTATAATTCTCATCACGTAACTTTTCCTCGTTTCTACATTTGGCATCTTGTATGATAATGCTATTACTCAAACGAAAAAAACCTAGGCAATACCTAGGCAGTGGATATAAATGTGTTCTGAGGTAGATGCTATGTTACGGTCCGTAATAAGAATATTTGGATTTTGGAGACATATTAATATTTTATTATCTAATTTAGTTTAAACCTCATTTAACTCTTCTCTACTGTCTCACTAATTTTTAGTAAAATTATTCTAGCAACATTTAAAACAACAACTTAGACTTAAGTTTTAGTTCTCAGACTTGGCTTTTAGTCCGTCCCTAATTCAAAACAAGCATAGAGATAGCCATCTTCATGGTTTCTCTGTCAACCGCCGAGTTCGCGTCAAATTCGCCTACCTTTTTACTAAGAGGAGCTCGAAAAGTATAGCACCGAGGCCCCCCCTGCTTGACAACAGTTGTCAAGCTAAGCTACCGTATTCCTAGTATACACTTAGATCGAGACTATTTAGATGATATTCACTCTTTCCCGCTGTACGCCCGTCGGATTCTTTATTAGTTATTAATAAAAGAATAGTGGTAAAACTATACAGAATGAGTCTTAAATAAGTGCAAATATTTTCAGGGGTGGTATATTTCGACCCCAGGAACACGGCTATGAAGTTTTTTTGCAAAAAAAGAATGTTAAATATCGTGCTTTTTCTATTAAATTTTCCTGTATATTTTAGAATTTTTTTTAGAACTTTTTTCTTCACCGCAAATTTTTCCACGGTATAATTTGGTTAGGTTAGCTTAATCTTTGATATCACGGCACAAAAAGAGATGCAAATACAGAGAAATTTCCCATTTTTTTTAAATTTCAAATTTAAATAACTCGGTTATTTTGAACTTATTTGAAAGACGGTAAAAGGAATATATCGTGGGCGTACAGCGAAAATCCACTAAGTCACATTTTTGGTTGAATTGGATTAAACACACCACTATGTCCAGTTTTTCACGGTCTTTAACATGAAAAACCCATTAAGTCGTCCAATTTCCGCATCCTTATAATATAATATAAGGATATATATATATATAATATAATATAAGGATGCCGAAATTGGACTTAATGGTTTTTTCATGTTAAAGACCGTGAAAAACTGGGCATAGTGGTGTGTTTAATCCAATTCAACCAAAAATGTGACTTAGTGGATTTTCGCTGTACGCCTACGATATTATGTTTCTTTTATTCATATCTACCAGCCCTGAAAATATTTGCACAAAGCAGCACAAACAAGGTACGCTTATAGACTCACATTAATAAAACATTTCAAATGGAACAACAAACAACAGATGTTATTAAAATTATAAGTGTCTCAGAGAAAGACATCTAACAATAGTTATTTTACAAATTGGCGTTTATGTTTAAAAACAATTGACGATTATATTGATGCAAATTGATTATTTAGTTAGGCAGTCACTAAGAATCTTACGTAACTTTACTATTTAATTTTTGCTAAATCAATCTTTTTTTGAGCTCTGATCGGGACCGGCCCACCGGCCCACCTGCCCACCGGGAATTTTCCCGTTTTCCCATATGGCCCATCTACCCCTGGGAGAGAGTTACGGATCCCACAGTTATCTCGGTAAAATAAAATTGACCGGCTAAATTGATGCCCTCAACATCAAAACTGGACAACTGAGAATTAGCAAAATGTTCTTTTTTCGGATGAGGCCAGAAACGGCCTAAAGTCAGATGACCATCGAATTTGCGTTCTCAGAGCTCCAGGAAGACTAGCGAGACTCCAGGCTGCCAAATCTGTACCAAGATATAAAGGAGGAACTGTAATGTTCTGGGGAGGTATTATGCTGGGCGCAAAAACTCAATTGTTACCACTTCAACAATTTTAATGGATCGTAGGTATGTTGATTTAGTGCTAGAACCAATCGTTAGTCTTTGGAGAGCTGCAAATGGGGATAATTTTAACTTCATGCGCGATAGTGCACCTCCCCATACCAGCAGAGTGACTAGAGAATATCTTGAAACGGAAGGTGTCATAGTTTTGTACTGGCCTGAGTGTTCACCAGATCTAAACTCTATCGAACACTTGTGGGACCAGCTTAAATTTTGTTTTGCATGAAGTAATCCTCGTTTAAAAGTTCTGTAGTCCATTAGGGAAATCTGATGTTTGCGTTTTGTCAAATCCTTATCATCTGATCTTAGCTGTTCTATTTATTTGATAGAGGTACCTTAAGGTTTAAATTTATATCTAATTATGAAGCAAAGCCATTACGAACTTTACATACCAATAAAAATAGTCGAGAGAGAATTCTTCTTCTTCTTAAGTCGCCATCTTTTTTCGGAGGTTGGCGATCCAACTGGCTATGATGGTGCGTAACGACGCTTGCGACCCCAAAACTGAGATATGAATAAAAACTACAAAAACTATATATATTTTTTGAACAATTTTAAATTTAGATAAAACATTAAAAGTCGTGTTTGTCCCCGCTGGATTAATTTCCTTAATTTGAAAATAATACGTCTCTGAATAAAGTTTCTGTATTGACTAAAGTGCAAGACAAGCAAAAAAGCCCCTTTGTTGATCTTACGGGAGGCACGAAGACTTAGGACATAAACAAATCAACCTACATTTATTTGTCATCGTTCAAAATTTTTCGTTTTAAAGTAAATTATATCTCTAGACGCGATGTTTTTGCTGTAAAATTTGCTGTTTTCGCTCTCAGGGACCACTCCCTTCTGTCGCTTTCAAGAATAGGTTCCCAAGCCTTCAATCAAGTGCCTGTAAACCTCTTCAAGTGCCTTCAACCACTGTGCTATTTGCTATTTCTGAACCAATGCCTACTATTTCAGAAATTTTTCGAAAAAAAACATTCATTTTAAACGATGTCAAATTCAAAT